CTTATAAGGGACTGTTGCGCATAGGATCAAGTGCTCCGACAACTCAATGCATGCTTGGCGATAATGAAATTCCTCACGTATGTCAACAAATTGACTTAGGGATCACTTTATCTCAGGACTTTAAATCCAGCGAGAACTGGAAGAAAGCGTCTTGCAGGGGTTTTCGAACTCTCTGGATGCTCCGTGGATCATTTTGGATCCTAACGGAAACAATGTTTGTTAAATTGTATACGTCCATTGGTAGACGGCACTTGGAGTATTGCATCCAGGCTTGCCGTCCTTGCCTGACTCGTGACAGGATGGCGGTAGAGCGGGTCTTGAGAATCGGAACCAAAATGGTTCACTGATTGCGACACCTGTCCTATCCTGACAGGTTGCTCAAGCTAAGGATGTTTTCATTACATTATCATCGTCTTCGCGGCGACCTGATTCTCACTTATCGTTTACTGACAGGGCGGATAGGTTCAGACATTCTTGGCTTTTTTATCCTACATAGTTACCTACTCTCCGCGGGTATCCAATGAAATTGCATAAACTCAGATCTGATCGAGTTCTGGCTGGCACTCATTTGTCATACCGAGTGATAGATGCTTGGGACGCACTACCTGAGGACGTAGTCTTAGCATCCATGGTGACAGAGTTTAAACGTCGCCTCGACGTCCACAACTTGCAGCTCCGAATCTTCCCCTTCTCCTCTTACTCTGCTTTCTGTTTGCTCCAGCTATTTTCCTTTTTACTCACTCTTACTAACTTTCTCTTCATTGTCCTCTTTCGTACCCTTCCGCTTTAAATCTAGTCTACAATTTTCTTTTCCTTTTTTTATTTCACGCGGCCGGCGCAGCGGGGACTGCTAGCGCAGGGCACGTGGGTTTTGATTGGTTGACCATGATTTGATTTGTACGTGCTGATTTGGCTCCCACAACTGGCCGATCTTGCCACCGCATTCTAACGTGAATCAACGACGCATACAGGATGGAAAGACCATGGGAATTTCCTTTTGTTCCTGTCCCATTTGGATTTGAACTGAACCAAAAATAAAGACGAGGACTTATGCAGCTGTGGCGAGCATAAACGCTGCAGAAACATCCGCGATGAGCCACGAAAAAGACAGCTCCAAGGCCTAAAGCACAATTTAACTCAACGCAACTGGAGCTCATTATTGACCAACTTACCCAACTTAAACCGCTCATTAAAGAAAAGCCAGTCACAGAAAAGCTAAGTCTCTCAGGAGGAAACAAAGCACCTCGTGAACGTTGCTTACTAATTATGAACGTTGAATCCGACAAAAAATCATCGGCTGAAAGGATTCTTGACGACCAAGCTATTTTATAGTGTATGGTACCCACCCTATTCGATGAAGGCGAGCAGGGTATCAACCGTCTCAGTTTTCCGTCTAGGTAACAAGCAGGATGATCCATCCAAGACTCACCCGCTAAAAGTCGTCTGTCAGGATGAGGATGAATGTCGCCGCATCCTCAGGCGTACCTCGCGTCTCAAAGGAGAAATCTTTGTCCTGAAAGACCTTTCCCCAGAAGGTAGATCAGAATGAGACAAGCCGTCAAGGAACTGCGAACCTGCCGAGCGAACGGCGAAACTGATCTCCATATTGTGGACTTTCGCGTTGTTCGTAAAACCCAGGAACTCGCTGGAAGCCAATCCTTCTGCTACCCAGCCCACAAGTCTAAATAGCGGATTGCGAGGGGCATTTGTCAATGTGCACCGCCTTAAAAATACTCTCGACAAGATTCCTCTACTCATTACTGAGCCAGATTTACTTGCTTTCACGGAGACCTGGTTATCACCAGAGATCCAGGATGCTGAGATTAGCATATCAGGATATTAACTCTCACGAGCAGATCGCTCCAGTGAGCGGACTGGGGGGTGGTGTAACTCTCTACTCGAGGTTCTGCTTCAAGGTACACGTTATCGAAACTCTCAGTGACAATGACAGCCTCAGAGATACTGTGGTGCCGAATTCATGATGACTATCAGTTGCACACGGTCGGTATGGCTTACGGAGCACCACTGAGCTCAGGCTTCCGTCTATTACAGTCGGTAAAAACGAATGGTCGAGGAAAGAACTGTCTGCTAACGGGCGACTTCAATGCACCCAGTGTCGACTAGAACCTTCTTCACTGTGATGTTTACCAGGATTCCTTCGAAGCTGACTTTCTCGACGCTATTCACGAATGTAATCTGATTCAGCACATCTCAGGGTCAAACGCCAAACGTACTGGATCTCGTCCTTACACCAGTTCTCTCTTATGTCCATGGCCTGTGGATTTTCCAACCACTCGGTCGGGAGTGACCACTCTACTATCTCCTTCTTTTGGGCATGCTGCCTTGCCATCCACTATCACGGGACACAGTGTCGCAACTTCTGGCGTGTTTTCCCACCCAGGTTACAAGAAGTGGCAAGCACCACAGACAGGACCATTCCACAATCTCTGAACCTTGGTGAGGCTTGGAACTTACTACGCTCGAAGATGGCGTCATTCATCGAAAAACTTATTCTTATCACCAAGGACCGTCATTTCCCCAAAGATCCCCCTGGATCGACCGAGAGGTGAGATCCCTGATGAACAGACGACGCAAACTGTGGGACATATTCAAGTCAACACAGGTGACGTCAAATCACTCGAAGTACAAAGTGATCAAAAATCTGTGAAAGCGCCGAAAACGATCACAATACGAACGGAGCCTAGTCATGCAATCACGAACCTGCCCGAAGCTGTTCTTGTACCTGAAGCGAAACACCAAGACTGGCAGTGGTATCCCTGCTCTATCATGCCTGGAAGAGGACACAGTACTCTACGTAGATGACTAGAAGGCTCAACTACTAGCCTCCCAGTATTCCTCGATCTACTGCGTGGAACCGTCATTACCCACTGACGATTTGACAACGCATTATTCTCCTCTCGAGCAGGTCAAAATCAATCCCGAGATAGTTAAATACTCCACCTTTAACTTAACCCTAACTCCGCACCGGGCCCCGACGGACTTCACCCGCTATTCCTCAAGATGCTAGCAGAATACATTGCTGATGCGATACATCAAGTTTTCCGGCGTTCTCTTGCAGACGGGCGTCTAACACCTGGCTGGAAATTAGAGAACCGGCACAATCCCGAAAACTACCGACCGATATGCCTGACGTCTGGTCTGCAAGGTCATGGAACGGACCATCAAGGGCGCCCTCCATACCCACTGCGAAAGCCTGTGCGCCATCTCTCTCGCTCAACACGGATTCCCGCATCTCCACCCTGTTAGTTGTCAGAGAAGCATGGGTCAAAGCAGTAGACGACCGGAGACACCTAGATGTTATCTACATTGACTTAAGCAAGGCTTTTGACAAAGTCCCACACAAACGAATTCTGCTCAAACTCCAGGGAATTGGCGTCACTGGAAACGTCCTTGTATGGGTTGCGGACTTCTTGAGAGATCGAACTCTTCAAATGATGGTGAATCAAACGCTGTCTGGCTCTGTGTCTATGACTAGCGGAGTCCCACAAGGCTCTGTCCTTAGGCCGGAACTTTTCAAGAACTACATTAATGACCTCCTACAGCTCTTCAAGCCGACGGCTTAGTCTATGATAATGATCTCAAGCTATGGTCAGAAGTAGCTAGTCTTGAGGACGCGGACAGACTCCAAATGGCGTTTGACCAGCCGCACGATTGGTCCGTCAAGTTGCAACTACCCGTTAATTACAACAAATGTACTGTTCTTCCGATTGGTAACCCGGATTCATTCCGTGTATACCACACTGGCGGATATGTTCTCAAGAATGCCATGCACGCGAAGGATCGGGGGTTATCGTGTTACATGACCTTAGAACTTCTCAACACACCCTGAGAAAGATCTTGGCTGCAAACAGGATGCTGGGTGCTCTACACAGGTCGTTCTGTATCAATCCGGCAATTTTCAGAACTCTGTTCACACCACATATCCTCCCGATATTGGAGTATGGGCCCCCAGATACCTATCCTCTCTTAAAATTTGAATGCGACTTGCTAGAAAGAGTTTAGAGGCGTGGTTCGAAATCCGTCATGGAGCTTCGAGATCTTGCTTACCCTCTTCGACTGCGAAAGCTGAACATATTCCCATTGGATTATCGTCGGCGCCGTGATGTTATCTATACCTGACGGATCCCAGGAGGAGAACTTGGGAGTGAGGCAGGAGAGCACTTTCGGCTCAACGTGGACAGCTGGACACGAGGCCACAAGTAGAAGTTGTACAGGAGCCGAATAATTCACGTCCGTCCAGAGGCTGCTCTATCAATCCGTGTAGTAAATGATTGGAACAGCCTGCCGGAGCTCATTTCTGATGCACCGACAGAGGAGATTTTCGAACGGCTGCTTGACTGCCATCTGATGAGTACGCCAAGGCTCTGCTGCTCCTACCGCAACGGCGACGATCCCCAGAGAAAGGCCACTTCGCAGCCAGTTGCATCAAACCTGCACTGAATCGGAATCGACGGAGCTGACAAGGGTCTCCCCTTCTGCTCTCTACACACCACTGAAGCAATGAGTGACGCCATGTGTATAGAAAAGATTCAGCAACTTGCGATCAGGATGATCGAAGGTCAACATGGGAAGTCATACGAAGATCGTCTAAGTAGCTTGGGATTATTTTCCTTGGGACGGCGTAGGTTAAGAGGGGATTTGATAGAGACGTTTAGGATAATTAAAGGACTTAGTGGTATTAATCCCACCCATCTGTTTGCGCTAGCTACGTCGGATCACCTGCGCGGTCATCGCCTGAACCTCAAGCAACATAGACCTCGTTTTGACATGGAAAATGTTTTTACAAACCGAGTATTTAACCACTGGAATAAACTTCCTTCTGATTTAGTAGAATGTGAGTCTGTCGAAGCCTTCAAAAGCGGCCTAGATGTGTGTTGGTCTGACCTGTTCCCGTATATATTGTAATTGTAGTGGAATATGTAATGTATTCTGATGCTGACACTTGAAAGTGCGAAGATTGCTCTTGTTTTTCATTCCTTTGCAGTAGCAAGAAGAGTCCACCCAACATCGAAGTGCTGGGAGGCCGCTTGACCTACCGACACAAGAAACTGGACGCTCGTTAGGCGAAAGCCTCTATCGTCCATTGTATCTGACCTGACCTGACATTTTCGCCCTATTTAGAGCCCGTTAGTTGCATACTTCGGCGTGATCTTGTAAGTAAGTAGGTCGTACCTCGCGTCGACGGCTATTGATGCTTCCTCTTCTCTTTACCTAAATGTGGTCTCTTGCTAGATGGTTGTGATGTGAGCATCCAGCCACTTACGAAGTATTTGTTTTCTATTGCAGTTCCCCAGGTCTATTACGGCCTACGTACACGCTGGACACGAAAGTCCTCGGAATCCTCGTCCGCACGCATAGTATAAGCTGCATTCCATCGGTCCTGCGCTGTATGACGCCTGGATTTGTCCGCAGTTAATCTCTGTGTGCAGGTAAATCAGCATTGTTTTCTTTCACTTTTATGATTACCTGTTTGGGTTAAGGGTACCATTTTATAGTTAAATAGTGTTAATAAAGCGTTTATTAACTTCAAGTTCGGGTGGGACTGGAACGATAGGCGAATCCCTTGAGTGTTCCATTTTGAGGGGATCGTTGAACAAGGATTTGATGAAGTGCTCAGAGTTATTGATGGATCTAAAACGGAACGCCCGCATCACAACCTGGCCAACCAGTTACTGCCCACGTTTCCTGCCCTAGCAATCCCTGCTGTGGCAGTCAAGTAAGTAAATGATAGGATAAGAAATCGAAGGTACAGCATAAGGACGTGCACTTGAAATAAGAAAATAATACCAGTGCATGAAGCAAAGTAGAGAAAAGGACATCTAATTATGAAGATGCGAGTTACTCAGGAAAAGGGAAAGCTTTCGTGTTGCTACCCAAGAGCGTCAAGTTGCCGCTCAAACCCCTGATAACACTTTCCGGAATCATGTTCCAACGCTCGGTGACTCTGCGTGACAGCCGGATTTCCGTCCTAATCCGATGGGACCGCGGTTTGTCCACGTTCAACGAATGACAGCGTAGAACAGACAATCTAGCGGGACTGAATAGCCAAGATAAATCTGGACCAACCTTCCAAGTTAAGATACGATAGGTTAGGATTAGGTCTCCTCTAAGCATTCTGTAGTGCATTGAATGCATTCTCAAACTGAGTAGACCCTCGGGCTACGTCCGTCCCCGTAATCCCTCGACTAACCTAGTACCCACCGGTAAAACCCTCTGTAGCTCCATTTTGTCCCGGACGAGGCAAGACCGACAAGCCTGGACGCAGTATTCCAGATGAGGCGGAACGAAAGTCGAGAACGGTCTAGTAACGGTGCCGCCTGTCAAGACTCTGAAAGCACATTGTATTAACCACAACATTCGGAAACCTCTGCTTGCGACCTTCCAGTTGTCCGATGTTCTTGGACATTCATATCTCTAATTTCGTTGATGAATTGGAATGTATCTGCCAGTCTGTGAGGAGCAATCATTTGTCTGATGGGATTCAGCATTTTTGTCAGCCACTGCGCAATGTTGTGGTACGGTGAATTCCTCATATCTAGTATGGGTTCGAGCGACTTAACGATATCACTAACCCCCGCTCGACTATTACAAAGCGTCGGTACGGCTTGTTGGCTTACCATCATGAGCCATACTTTTCCTCATTGGATAGGTCTTATCGGTTCGCATGGTATTGGTTCAGCGAATGCGAACGGTTGCAGGCTGCTCTCACTATGTGCCACTCACGGCCTGAGGCTCACGAACGCTCTGTTTGCACGGAGTGCGAGTGATATAGCAACTTGGACGCACCCACGGAGTGGTCACGCTCACCTGCTTAACTATGTCATCGTACGTCAGCGTGGTGTGCCTGAAGTACGCATGACACGTGTACTGCATGTAGCTACGTGTGGCACTGACCATAACTTGGTGTTGTCCAAACTGTACATATGTTTTCGTAAATCTGTGTTTTGCACTTCCGCCGTGAATCGGCGTACCTTTAACGTTCTCTCCCTCGGTACTGTGGCGAAACGTATTGAGCTGGAGCAGGCGATGGCTGCACGCCTGTGTGATGCGGACTGCATAGACACACTGGGCGACTTGTGGCACCACATTCGCGACCAGGTGACAGCTGCTACCGAGGAGACCATCGGCTGCACAAACTGTAAGCGGGCTGCTTGGTTGAATGAGAGCGATGCGGCGATTGGCGCATTGGTGTCGGAGAAGAATGCAACGTTTGCTGCACATGTGACAGACCTCAGTGACTTGAGAAAGAAGAGTCAGTTTCGAAAACTTCGACGGCGACTGACCCGAGAACTCCGTCTCATTAAAAATGCATGGTGGACGGAGAAGGTGAAGCATATGGAATGCTACGCCGAACGCCACCAACACAAGGAATTCTGACTCATTGAAGGCAGTGTATGGACCGAGGTTGGAGCCGCTGAAAACGCTAATCGATAGTAGTTCAGGTGCTACCTACACACCGACTGCAGACATAATGCAGATCTGGCAAAAACACCTTGACTTTCAAAGACTGAATGGCCTACATTGAACCACCTGAAGTAGCACGATGTGAAGATGAGTGTGGCGGACACGCCGACACTGGATGTTACGCAAAGAGCGCTTGCTCAGTTGCGAAACGGCATGTTTGCTGGGGCAGACGGGATCCCGCCTGAAGTATTGAAACACGTCGCATTTGCGTTGGTGAATGCGCTGCACCACTTGGTGCAACGCGTGTGGATTGAGGAAGAGGTTTCTCCTGAGTTGAAGGATGCGCTTGTGCTATCACTGTACAAGGGCAAAGGGAGCAGGCAACGTTGCACAAATTATCGTGGCATCAAGTTGCTGAGTTGTGTGGGCAAGGTGATTGCTCGAATCCTGCTCAATCGCCTCATCAATCAGGTTGTGGAACCTAACGTGGCGGAAGAGCAATGTGGATTCCGTTCGGGTCGTAGCACTATAGATATGGTGTTTGCGGCTCGTCAGTTGCAGGAGAAGTGCAGAGAACGACACCAGCCTTTGTACTCGCTTTTTGTTGATTTCACCAACGCGTTTGGTACGGTGAACCGCGAGGCATTGTGGCTGGTGTTGGGTGAGTTTGGTTGCCCGCGTAAGTTTGTAAGTTTAATTGAATGTCTGCACAGTGGTATGCAGGCGAGAGTGCAGCTGAATAGACAGACTTCGGATGACTTTGCAGTTGTCTCTGGTGTGAAGCAAGACGATGTCTTAGCTCCTGCCCTGTGTAATATGTATCTTCATGCAATGATGTCTTGTGCGTTTGATACGGCTTGTGCTTACGGTGTTTGTGTTTAGCACCGTATTGATGGTGGGTTGCTGAACATCCGTCGTTTCGGTGCGAGAACCCTAGTCTGTGAGACAACTATCCGGAAGTTACTGTTCGCTAACGCCTGTGCGTTGTTTGCACATATCGCAGATGAGTTGCAGCACGACCAGTGCTGTGGCTTTGACAGCGGCGAACTTCGAGCTCACCAGCAGCACAAGCAAGACTGTCTCCTGCAACCTTCACCGGAGGTGCCATTTACCATGGTGCAGCGAGTCACATTGGTGATGAATTGCTCGAAACCATCTTCCGCTTCTGCTACCTTTGGAGTGTGATGTCGACTGACCAGCAGCTACACAGTGAGCTACGTGTCGAAGGCATCGGCGGCATTCGGGAAGCTAGTGTACCGAGTGTGGAACAACTGTCAGCTTACCGTTGGTGCGAAGCTGATGGTGTATAAATCCATGGTGCTGTCCGTTCTTCTATACGGCAGTGTAACCTGAACGATCTACCGGCTGGATGTGCGATATCTCGAGGCATTTCGTCAGCAGCGTTTGCGATGGATTTTGCGCATTGGTTGGTGCGACAGAGTTGCTGACACGGAAGCGTTGCGGCGAAGTGGAATATAGGTGGTGGACTGCGTACTTTCCCTGAGACATCTTAGGTGGCTCGGTCCTGTGCGGCATATGCATTCGGCGTGTGATAACGAAGCCGCTGTTATTTGGACAGCTGAGTGTTGAGAAGCGGCGTGTGGGGAAACCAAAATTTCGTTGCCTGGACATGACCAAAGTGAACCTATCACGTTCTACTCTTTATTGCAGGTCATGAGAATCGAAGGCAGTTGATCGACGTGCATGGCGCGATCTAATCACGAAGGTTGTTGCCAATATGCAAGAGAAATCCCTCATGCATGTAATGAAGAAGCTGCAATTGCGGAAGCGTTAGTCGCCGATGGGTTTTACTCCGTCGACATCGAGCGCATGGTGCTGTAACACATGCGGTCGCGAGTTCCTGTGTCAGGCAAGCCTAGTGAGCCATGAGCGTTGCCACTCACGGCCAACACCGAGACGGCAACGATTTCTTCAATGAACGTAGGCATCACCAGCGCAGCGTTTGTAGGTACGCTGCATTTTATTTACTAACCGCGTGCTTGCGTGCTGAGTCTCTATATCAGGTGGTAGGTTTGCTATATTGTCCTATTGCTATTTTTAACTCATTAATGTCAACCTAAACTTCCTATAAATTTGTACACGTCCCTTAAACTGCTTTAGTTAACTTCGATAACATTTTTGCGTTTGTTACATTTTCTTGAAATATATTTTATGCTGTCTTGAACTTATCGCAGATTTGTTCGTAATCAATTTATTTCATATGCTCATTTAGTGCCGAGTTGTCACCGTATCTGTTTGCATTGTTCGACTTATTTTACTTGCTACCATCGTTTCAAGTGATTGGCTGTTGACTTATATCACCAGGGTGGCTGCGCTTGATCTGCATGCTGACAAGGTGCCTACCTGTCTTTTACCCACTACCTCGTCCATACTGGCTCTAGATAGTTGGTCGTTGCTGTAGGGAACGGGCTGCACGGTCCTTGTGGCCGTTCTAGGTTCAAAGAGTGGTTCAATGCACTCAGTGTGGAGCGGACTATGGTGCAGCCACCGCCTTGTATGCGCTTAATTTCCAACTACAGCGTGCTTGTGCTTGCCTGTGAAGGAGTGTGGGCCGTTGATGCAACGTGGCTCCCATCCACATGCCTTATTCCTTCAGGTTTACAAAGTTACAGTATTGCTGCTAAATACCCACGTGAGAAATGATTGTGTAACATGTGGACAAGATATATATATATATATATATATATATATATATATATATATATATATATATATATGCAGCTGGCAGGCTGCCTCCTAGTTGGAAATTGTATATCGTGAAACCCATACACAAAGGTGGAGATCATCAAGATCCAGTTAATTACAGGCCAATTTGCCTAACATCAATTGTGTGTAAAGTCTTGGAGAGGATCCTTAAATGCTGTCTTCAAAAGCATCTGGAAGATCTAAATCTCATCTCGTCTGCTCAGGATGGGTTTAGGAGGGTCCGTTCCTGTATTTCAAATTTGCGTATCTCTAGGGAAATGTTGGCGAAATCGTTATACGCCGGTAAGCCTTTGGACATTATTTTATTTGACTTTAGCAAAGCATTCGCTGAAGTCCCCCATGAGCGGCTCCCTTTTAAGCTCTCTAGCGTTGGCTTCTCCAGGAATTTTCTTTCATGGTTAGCTGATTTTCTAAGAAGTCGTACAATACGAGTGAATTTCTTTCTTTACTCGTTCCGATGATTAGTGGCGTGTCACAAGGTTCTGTCTTAGGTCCGTAACTATTTAAACTCTTCATGAGTGGCTTTCCGACTACCCTTCAATCTGACTGTTTAATCTATGCCGATGATCTGAAGCTGTGGCTGGAGGTTGACAACATCGATGATGCTGACAGCCTACTGGCGACCCTTAATGCGCTACATGACCGACCAGTTCTTTGGGCTTACCTATCAACCACGAAAAGTGCTTTGTTCTCCCAATTGGCGCTTCTGAATCACTCAGCATCTATCACATCAATGGTTCCTTACTCACAAGTGCCTATCGAGCAGTGGATCTCGGTGTGATCGTGTCCTCTGATCTTCGAACAACGCACGATACTCTGAAAAAGGGCGCTACTGCAAACAGGATGTTTTGGTCCATTAGGAGGTCATTCTCTCGGATGACTCCTTATCTCTTCAAACTCCTGTTTGTCTCATATGTGCGCTCCATCCTCGAGTATGGTTTACTGGCAAGTAACCCGCGCACTAAATTCCAGTGTGCTTTGATTGAAAAAGTTCAGCGGCGAGGTTCAAAATAAACCCCTGTAATTCGAAACTTGTTTTATTCTGATCTACTCCAGCTTATGAATCTGTTCTCTTTCGACTACCGTCGTCGTTGTGGAGATCTGGTTTACACAAGATGGATACTCAGAGGCGACTTGGGTAGTGAGCTCAAACAGTTTTACCAGCTTAACAGAGATAGCGCAACGCGCGGACACAGATGGAAACTCTTTAAACCGAGGAGGCTCCACGTCCGTCCAGAGATCACTCTATGCACCTTAGCGGTGCACGACCGGAACAAATTACCGGAGAATGTGGTCAGTGCTTCTGCTGAGGAATGTTTCAAGAAGCTGTTGGATTTACACCTGTGTAAAGTGTCCGAGTCTTGCTGTTCTCCGTGAAATTGTGCTCACCTACTGTGACATTATCTTTCGATATAACACACGTCATCACACTGATCGGGAAGTGATGAAACTTCCAAAGGTTATCTCATCTGCTTTCTACTATTCAATGTATTCAATGTAATATTCTCATCTCCAACGACAGATTTGGTGGGTGAAAAGCTAAGATTTCGACACCTGTTCTCGTTACCTGTCGGCATTGGTACCACGTGCGGTGGACCTAATGAGGCCGTTACGGTCATTTTATATAGTTATCGGGTTGTATTTTCCCGGAAGCTGTCTTCACTTCTCCACTCAAGATCGGATAGCGGTCAAATGTATTAGTGATGTTCATTAACTTACAGTGACCGCCGATGGACCGACTGTTCATTTCATTGTTTAGCGCTTTATAGGTGTCACTAAGCATTTACTCAAGTTCAGTCCGTGCGATGAGTTGTTCATGTGGAGCAGAAATCGATTACAAGGCTGGTGCAGTTTCCATTGCAGTTTAGGTTTTGTTGTTTTTTGCACTTATCACTGAACTCAACATGCCATCCGGTATAAGTCTACCCCCTGCATATTTTTGAGTTCATGGAATCACTCATTCGGTCTTGCTCAACTTCAGCTTTCTTACCCAACGCCGCTGTTATGACAATGAGGACCTGCGATTGCGCCCCCCCCCCATTACTCTGCATCAGCCGTACATCTTCCCATCACCACGTCTGAAATCATGGCTCATGTCAACCGACAGACTGGTGTAAGCTCAATTTAACCACAGAGTCAACTATAAGTGACGAAGTCGGGTTAAGATTTACTCTCCTGATCCTGAATATCATATCACTTGCACTTGCATATCGCTCACCGTTCTGGCCCTTGAAAAGTACGCATTTCCGAGCTGGCTGTTTTCACATTTTGCGTAGCATCTTTATTATCTTAGTTAGTTCCCAGCGATGTGTGTGGATCAATCTGGGTTGTTCCCGCTCCTTAGACACCAATGCAAGTGAGGCAATGGCAATGATCGTTTGTTCTGCTTGAGCGCTCGGTTGTGCATTTCGGAAGCGAGTCTTTATTGATTGCCATGTCTGCATAGCTGACTGTGTCCCATGTACATCAGAAATTAGTCCCATTGAAAAATCTTTTGGCCGTTGACCGAAAGGGTTGCACGTCTGCCTTGCAATCCTTTGGTCACTAGTTCGAATCCGCGTATGGGCGGACGTCTACGCGGTAAACTCATCCCGCGCGCGACTGATGGTGGTCACATCGCATCGAGGCATCGGTATAGTGTGCCGGCGTACTGCTGATGACTTCCTCTTTAGACTATTCCACGATCACAATGAAATTCCATGAACCTACTCGTGCACATTTCCTTTATCACTCCATTTGTCCAGGACTGCGGTGTTGAGCTTCTCCCTGGAGACAGACTCACGGACTTGGACTACGCCGATGATATCGCCTTGCTGGGGGACGACCCACAATCCGTCCAGAACGCTCTGGACCGCTTGGCGATGGAGGCGTCTAAGTACGGCCTGTGCTTCACTCCGGGAAAATGTAAAACGCTGCTCCAGGATTGGCAGGTGCCTGAACCCGCGCTCACCATTGCTGGACATGTTCTGGAGCAAGTCCCTTGCTTCACTTACCTAGGGAGCTGCATCACGGCTGGTGGCGGTGTTGGAGATGAAGTCTCACAACGGATTGCAAAGGCCCGCCTTGCATTCATCAAACTGAGACATCTATGGCGTCGTCGTGATGTCAGTCTCAAGCTCAAGGGCAGGGTGTGCAATGCTTCCGTCCGTGCAGTACTCTTGTACGGCTGTGAGACTTAGCCTATTCGCTCGGAAGATATGAAGCAGCTATCAGTCTTTGATAATCGCTGTCTACGAAGGATTACTAGGGTGTGGTGGCAACACCATGTAAGCAACGCAGAGGTGAGAGACCGCGTGCTTGGGGCGAATAGTGCCAGTCTTCAAGAGGTTATTCTCCGACATCGCATGCGCTGGCTCGGGCATGTTCTGCGCATGCCAGCCCATCGCCTTCCACTTCGAGCGCTATTTGCACTCCCAGGGAGCGATTGGAAAAAGTGCCGCAGTGGACAGCCGATGACGTGGAGAAGGAGTATGAAGAAGGCGACCTCAAGTTTGGCAGCAGTCGGACCAGTCCGCCTTCCATGTTGGGGACCACGAGATGCTGAATTGCAGTGGTTGGAAACATTGGACGTCATGGCCCGCAACAGACATCAGTGGCGGCAATGTTGTTCCGCAATTTCACCATCCCTTTGATACACACAAAAACTCACAAAACAAAACAAAACAAAACAAAATGGCGTGTGTAAAACCAAAAAAATTCGTTTCCCATATTTTTTAATCGCATTAGTGTCCCCATCTTCTTCACCTTTTTCTTCTGCCGTGGTTCTGATGGCACAATGTCTGTTAACAGACTGTGAATATATATATATATATATATATATATATATATATATATATATAATTTTGTACCTGGTCGGCAACTAACCGTGTGGACAAAGTGTCCGACTTCTAACTCACTGATCACCGTTTCGATCCTACTCGGGTTCGAGCGACTTAACGATATCACTAACCCCCACTCGACTGTTACAAAGCGTCGGTACGGCTTATTGGCTTACCATCATGAGCCATACTTTTCCTCACATTTCCCTTGGGCTACTATGGGCTATTTAGCCAAAACTGCGACATACGTTTTTTGTCAGTTGGCAGGCGAAGGCATGCAGCCACTTTGTATGGCTTCATGGTTAGGATTTCATCAAAATGAGTTGTAAAGGTGACATCTCACGAACGGCTGAAATATTTCTATTTACTTTTTAGGTTATATCTGAGATTTCATCAACATATCTACCATCATGCTTCGGCGCAATCTCAGTTTGCCTCCTAACAAACAGAGGCAGACTGGAGTTTCATTGCCTCCATCGCACATGAGGTAAGTTGCTGCACCTCATATTTTTGCGATAGGGCCTCGAGTGTTGTGCCACATTGTGATCAACGGATTTCACAACGTGATACGAAATCTAAAGCTTTCGTAACTAGAGCTATAACCAACTTGATTGAGGTTCGCACAGTTCGGCCAACGTGTGACGCATCAACAGTTTTTAGAGTCTACTGAGTATCCCAACGCCATTTCTACTCGTCTGCTTCAATCCCCCAGTTCAAAAGAAATATTTTGCATTTTTGAGCATGTAATACGCCAAATATCGCCCACGTATCGTATTGGACGACCAGGAACGAAAGTGGAAGATTCATGCCTTGAGTGAGTCCCATGCTCACTTAGCGGATTGTTATTCAGCGCGCTAACGAAGCTAGGCTATCCATATGTGCTAAGCAAACAGTACTTGGCCACTCCGGGTGCTCCGCACGCTTGGCCATCCGTGCTCGCGGCACTAGATTGGCTTCGTGAGCAAGTGGTTGAGACACATGAAGTATGTCTTGTTCCTCTTATCGTACTTGTCCACTCAAGCTTCGGAAATCCGACTCTTTGTTTAAGTATGACGACGAACAAGACACTACGCGGGAACCGGTGGGCAAGGTTCTTTACGAATGTACTCTAGCCGAACTCAACGGACAACGGTCCATGGATGAACTGGCACAGGTGAGTCTATTTGTATCACATATCTTCATTTGTCACCTGCTGTGCCTTGGATCCTAGTGGTATTTCTGTCGCGACGTAATACAATCGTTTACTGTTTTTGTTCTCCTGAGTCCACTTGTAGTGAATTCCATCTGTTCTTTGATCGTCTTAACACACACCGCATAGCCACCATCATCTTTAGCGTCACATTGGCATTGCGTACTGATGTTTCGCCACTGCGTCCACAGATGCGAACTAAACTGCCCACTGTCAGTCACCTTTTCGTACTCTAGTGGTGACCCTATTCTCAAAGGCCATCGTTCAAATCTTTATTCCGTCGATTGCTACCCTGAGTACTCGCATGAATTGTTAGGGTGCTTTCTATGAACTACGCATAGTAAGTCCTATTTCATGCGTGCCAACAAATGTTTTACGAAGTTACCATAAAGGGGTTTGGAATGTCATTCTTTGGATTATCTTATGCTCTGTACGTGCCTGTGTGGTCTTACGGTAAGAACTAGTTTTCACGACTGAATATTTGACCATCAGGTTGCGTCGAGTCTTGTTTTGCACTTGGGATTTGTATTGTCCGTCATGATAGTTTTACTCGATTAGTTCCCAGCTCACTACGGGGTGGCAAGTCTGAAACGATCATCCAGCCACAGTGCGATGTATGCTCCCACGGACTTCAGCTTAAACACAATTAAAGATGAGTTCTGTCATCGACTCACTGGTCTTTGTACTAATCGTCACACGAACATCATGCGAGATATCCAAAGTCGCAAGTTGGTCGACCCGGTGGTTACCATAAGCCATGGTCTTCACAGATCGGATAACGGGGGTCTTGGTGAGTTTCCGTCGCGCACCACCTTTTATCAATCTTAGCGCCAACTCGCTGCTTAGTCGTTGATACAGGTTGCTCACATCTCCGCCACTCACCTACCTCTTCGGGTCACACACTCATGTGTGCTCAAGTTACGTTTTAATGGCACCGGTCAGTGCCACCTAAAATGACTTCACTTTCCCAGTGCCGTTCGCGATATTTCGGCCTTAAACCTCAATTGTTCCCCGTGCTCAGACATTTAAGTGCACCAGACACAACCCTGCTACACCCTGCTAAAATCTAGTATTACTAATAGCCTGCGTGCCACTTCATCATGCTTACAGCGCTTTGAAGTTTGATGACCAATATCTGCTGGCATTTAGTGCAATTCACTGCGCATGGCTACCATTGCTGAGCTCAGACACCACGAGAAGTATCGCAAGCCCGGGCCCCCAATATCAGTGTGTCCCTTTCCAGGCATTCGTAGTTCTTTGCGTGTGGACGCTTCACCACTAACTGGAATGGGGGTTATCTGTCAGTTTCCTTCAGAGCACCACAAATCCCCGCCCATTTGAATTACTACTGGTCCTTTTCAACCATAGACGTTCATCTGATCCGAAATTTAACGAAATGTGACCCATCTGATTGTAGCTTTGCGAATGTGGCCTCGCCAAAATGCTTAACGGAGCAGAATGCACTGCGTATCCAAAGTCGATCTCAAATGCTCGTCTCTGCTATTTAATATGTTTGGCTGGTACTCGATCAACGCACGCTCGAAGAGTGGATTTGGTTTCGCTCAAATTGGCGCTATTTTGATCATATATACTTCCCGCGTCAAACGTTCGCTGCTTTCTTAGTCATCAGAACCGCGTTTCCTCTAGTTAACAGGTCTGTTCTCTGGAGTCGTCTAGTGACAGGGAATGTATCCCGGAGGTTTCATAACATACTAAAAGGTTCCATCCTTTTCCCCCATCAGGTTTGCTCATTCTCACCCTACCTATTCAACTATACCGCGGTCAACATCCTAGAAGTGCTTGGGACAATTGAATGTGTTAAGACAACCGCTTCACTTCAGTTGGTCGCTGCTATAGTCACGGCTTCACTCAGATTGCATGCCCGACCCCGGCCCTTATTAGTTGCCCAAACAATAATGGCGGATCTCTGGTACCGTGTATTTATGGGTATCGGGCGACCTTATTGAATATTCTTTCTTTTTCCTTCCTTCCTTACCAATAATGGTATCAGAATCTTCAGTAATATTTTTCTCGTTGATAAACGAGACTGTTTGGAGGAGTCTTCGCAGAATCCGTTGTTTCTTGTCGAAAACAGGCGCCACCGGTCGATTTGTTAGGAGGTGCTCCTCTTAACACCTCTCGTTCGAACTCCACTGGCGTACGATTTCACTCTAAGATTGATTTGGAATGGTGTGGCGGGGACTCTATGTCTGTCTGTCCATCTTTTGGGCCGACATTCAGGGGTAACACAGTATGTAGTATGTTCATCTTGAGGAGTTTTATCAGTCTTCGATAGCTTGAATTCATGCGAGGGTATTCCCATAGGAGTCGTCCAGAAATCTTCACTTGTGTTTAGCGAAACACATCTCCTGAGCTGACTGATTTGGCGGACCCACCTTTCTTCGCCCACGGTTACCTCATGGCAGACATGATCGTATCTTTATGTAGTTGGGCCACTTGTCCATGCGATGTTTTCCCTCCGGTAGTCCTTTGCCAAAATCGTCTGTGCAACATCGAAACTCTTCGCTATTGCTTGGTACCTCCAATTGTATTGGCGTCTCATTTTCTGGTTTATCGCCACGCTATGATTCTCCTGCGGTCTTATGAGGTCCAAAGTTATTCGGGGCTTCCTCAACAGAAGCGATTCCGCCGGGGATTTTCTCTCCGGTGCCTGCCGATTGGGTATGATTCTGCACATCAGTAAAAAGGTCTGCAGAATCTCGTTACTCGGTCCATCCGCCTGTTTTAAGCAGAGCTTTCTTGAATGTGTCGACGAATCACTGCCTGTCCATTTGACTGGGGATGATAGAGAGGCAAACAGAGATGTCCCATCCCGTACGTGGCACCGAAATCGGTGAATTGCGCGGAGGTGAACTGAGGCCCGTTGTCAGACACGACGTTTTCCGGGAATCCAAAACGGCTGAAAGCTTCTGAGGGCGGCTATAGTGGCTGTTGAGGTGGTGTTCGACATTTGTAATATTTCAGGCCACCTACTGTATGCATCAACGATAAGTAAGTAGTTATGTCCCTTGCTTGGTCCTGCAAAATCAAGGTGCACTCTTAACCATGGTTTTGTGAGTGTTGGCCAGGAAAACAGTTCACACTTTCCGGGTGGTTTCGCCGCCAACGAACATTTGGAACACGAGCGGGGTAAATTTTCAATTTGTGAATCCATGGACGGCCATTAAACGTAACTTCGTGCCAAAGCCTTCATTCTGCTGGCGCTAGGATATCCGGCGTGAAACTGTTTTAAGACTCTGGATTGGAGTTCTACTGGTATGACGACGCGTTCCGTAAACAGAACACAGTTTTGGACGATGGATAATGAATTCCTTCTATGGGCAAACTGTTTTAGTCATGCGTCCGAACTTTTTCGTGGCCACTGTGAACGGTAGAAGTTGCTCACTTGTGATAGCAACAGATCACGTAAGGTTGCTTGTCGAATCAGAGTGAAAGATATTGGTAGTCGGCTCACCGTGTCTGAAAGCACCTGTTTAACTTCCATTTCTACTGATACGTTGGTAACAACGGTGTCTTCTGACTGATACTGTTCGTCCATCAATCGTGATAGTGCATCCGCCTGAAAAATATCATTTGCCGATCGGTACTTAGTAGTGAAATCATGTTCGAGCAACATTGTGGCCCATCTTTGCAGACGATTGGTCGTGTACACTGGAATCCCTTTCTTGGAGCCGAATATGGCAAGGAGACTTGTGGTCCATTATTAGTGTGAATTGACGAGCATATAGCATCTTGTGAAAATGCTTTACCGCAAACGCGATGGCCAAAGCTTCTTTTTCGATTTGAGTAGTGTTTTTCTGCTGGGGTCAGTGAACGAGCGGTATGAGCGACTGGTTTTTCGGCTCCGTCAGGTAAAACGTGTGAGATGACTGCGCAGACTCCATAGCTTAAAGCATCTGACACCAATACAATTGCCAACTTCGGTCATAATGCATGAGTATCCGCTTCGGGTGCATCATCGACTTGATGTTGTACAACACTTCTTGACATCTGGGTCTCCATTCCCATGGGGCATCCTTCTTCAACAGTTGTTTTAATGGCCCGCGTAAATCATGCATACAGTGTAGGTAGGCACTGTAGTCACTTACCATGCCAAGAAATGGTATTAACGTCGTTACGTCCTTTGGTGGGGGCATGCATGTAATCGCTTTGATACTCCACGGGTCCGGTCGTCTTTCATTCTCGTCAATGATAAACTCAAGGTATTTAGTAAACTTCATGAAAAACACACTTGTGCATTTTCAGACGAAATCCCTTTTCACTTATTCTATTGAGCAATGCTCCGTCCGTTGACACAGTTTTTCCTAGTTTGACGCCATAATGATTATATCTTCCAGATACGCTACTGGGTACGATATCCCTTGAAGCATTGTATCCGTGATCTGCTGGAAGATAGCCAGGACCGATTTAACACCGAATGATAGGCGCGTGTACTGAAATAGTCCACAATGGGTATTTATCGTCAGCATCTCCCGGAATTCCCTTGACGTTTCCATCTGGAGATATATGTCAGACAAGTCTAGCTTGGCAAAGCACTTAGGACCGTTTTTAGCGTTCAAAATGGTCTTCGGGAAGTGGCAGGGGGTATTGGTGATTTTCGAGAGCCGCACTTAAGCCAGTGAAATTGTCTGCATAGAGCCGAATCTTGCCATTGGGCTTCTTAACAATTACAATTGCTGCCGCTCATGACGAATAATTGACCGGCTTAATTACTTCGGCGGATTGTAGACTCTCAAGTTCTTGGTTCATGATTGACACAGCTGCGTATGGGACTGGCCGTTTCGGTCGAGAAACTGGCTTTGCACTCGGGGGCAGGGATAAGTTGGCCTTGGTTTTCGGACGCAATCCCAGTCCATTCTTGTACTCCTGCAAATACATTTTTGCAGAATTTCCTTCCAGTTCACAGCCGAACTGCGTAGTTTGTTACCTACAGAGTTCAAGGGAACATCCAGTAACTTCAGCTTTTCAATCCAGTCGAGGCCAAATAAGTGGAGACTGGGATATTCTGTCATGTAACAGGTGCTTTCAAAATGAGAGTGTTTGAAGGGCACAGAACAAGTAATCCCACCAAGTAGTTTCAACACTTCTCCTGATGTGTTGGTTGTAACACGTGATGTGGATACATGGCTCTCCGATTTTCTTCCACGTTTCCTCTGATATGACCGTGATATCCGAGGCAGAATCAACTTGGAGACGCACAGGAACTCAAATAACGTACACTATGACAAACCTTCGAAAGTAGCAAAGATAGGCTAAAACTGAGACTCATGTTTTATAAGGCATATTGGTACAGACGTTTTTAGGATTCTTGGCGGTAACGTGGTTCTTGATGAAGCGGCCGTGTTCTTTAAGGCCAAGCTTGTTGCATTTTTGACGATGCGTTTTGAACGGACAGTATCTGACGTAGTGCCATTTCCCGCATTGCCAGCATGCGGATGGTCGCTTGCTTGACTTCATCAAGTTCGGACCCCGTTTTGAACTTCGATGCTGGTTCGATACCGCCAGCCTATCTGCGGGACCTGGTGTGGAACCTTCAGCAATGAGATTGGTATCGTGCTTTAAATTTCTCAGTCTTCGGCACTCGAAAGTGATGGACATAAGGTTGATGGTCGGATCCTGCTCGATTTTGTTATGCAGTCTCTTACGTATTACGGCATCCTCGGGTGATTGAAGACTGCAAACAAAAATCTGTGCCTTAAACTGGTCGTCTGTCGTCTCCCTAAGTTTGAAGCGCTCACAGTGACGATTGATGTGGCTAGCATAGGTAAGGACGTCGTCCGTAGCAGGCTTAACAAATTTCGTGTAGTTGTAATGGACACTGAGTTGAGCAGACTGCTCACAAACTGTCTTTTAACAAATGCATAACTTAACCAAAAGTGTAATCTTTGTGGCACTTTGGAAGAATGAAATTGCGAAACCTGTCGTGCTCTTTGACCTCCAACTTCCACAGAAGCAGCCTGCATTTCCATCCATCATCAGCATCGGAAAATTCAGACCGGAAAATATTTTCGTATCTCCTGAACCAAGACCCGAAGGTAACACCGGCATCTGCATCATATTGAAATACGCAAATACTGTTTGACACGGCATCCGCTGAATTGGGCTGCTTTTCGGTGCTCGATCTTGTTTGTTGCACCAGGCGCTGAGGAAGATTTTTGATCAGTCTTGATTGCCTTTCTTCAAATTGCTTTCGCTGATGCTGGAGAATGAAGGTCAATTATTTCATTGAAACCGACGTTATTGGGTCCTTCACTTCGAAATACGTTTGTCGCTTCACTCCAATTGGTTGTAGCTACAGTCACGGCTGTTCGACCCCGGTCCCGTATTGGCTGACAAAACAATAATGGTGGACCTCTAGTACTGTGTATTTTCCGAACGACAAGAAAGTTACATTTATAGGTCTCGGACGGCCTTGAATATTCTTTCTTTTCCCTTCCTTCCTTACCAATAATAGTATCAGAATCTCCAGTAACATTCTTTTCATTGATAAACGAGACTCTTTGAATGGGTCATTGTAGAATCTGTTGGTTCTTGTCAAAGACATGCGTCACCAGTCGATGCGTTAGGACTTGCCCCTCCTAACATTTTGTCTTGGGTCGTGGAGCTGCTTTTGCAGCCTGACTTTGTGACGCGATGTGCACTTATGCCGTTGTTTTTCTTACCTTGGTCAGCATTATTTATCTCGCAATTCGAAATGGACTTAATTTTTTCCAGTTTTAAGGCTTTACGTAATTGACAAGAGGCTTCCCCCATCCTTTACAGTTACTCTTCGGTGATGACTCACAAGTTCGTTTGGCTCGCTGACTGGCCTAACATTCCGAGATATCTTTGCTCGTTTTTAAATTTCGCAGGTTTTGTTAAGTTTGGCTAAATTTGGCGCTACCACCTCCCCATCCTTTAACTGGATGACAACCTACCGCCTTACATTACAACTAGTTCCGTTTTGTGCCCCTTATCTTGGTGCGTCAACCAAGCTTTTTGTTGGGGACCGCTTTTATGGCGTGGGATGATCCGGAAAATGGATAGTTTGTAGCGATACATTGAACAAAATTAATAGCGTCTGGCAATCCCGTTCGGAATCGAAAGCTTGAGGAGAATGTGCATCCATCAGTGTTTTGAACTTTTGCGCTAATTTTCCTTCTACTGTTATATGCCCAGACGAACGGTTCTAACCCCTGACCACTCACCGTTCACAGCACGGGGGTGGGGACCTCATTATAGCTGTGACACCGCAAGCTTGTACCGGTGTCGGCATATGCTGCTGTGCAGTGCTGCCATGGCGTCGGTATGGAGAAGTCAGCTAGATGTGAAATGCGGTAGATCATGATGAGGTAAACTCGCACCCGACGATAGGACAGGGTGTGCATTCCCTGTCTTCGTACAGGAAATCCCACAAGCTGGGAATGAACCTGCTTGTGGCGTGCTGGACCCGTTCGATCTTGCATCGGCTAGGTGGTCTGACAGTAGGCAAGCTAGTCGTGGTGTTATAATTTAGGAGAAGAGGCTAGTGGCAACCTCTTCAGACCAGATGCATAAGGTATGTTTGCGTGCCTAGAGCATGCGCACTCCGTTTCGATGTCGCCTGCTATGTTTGCATGCACCTTGTATGTCCTTTGATGTTGGTGTTTGCTGCTTCTCCGTAGCCAACTACATCCAGTTTGTTTTCAAGTTATTAAGTGCACGTTCCCAGAGACTTACCTCAGCAACTGCAAACCACACAGTGATGAGCATTGTTCTCAGCCCCGGGAATACTTTTTTGCTAATCGATTGAGTCCCCTTGAACAGCGGTTCAAGTTTAGTCTCTGTGAAAAACTCGGCTAACATTAGTCCATAGAGTTTCGCTTAACCGTGCCTCGGGACGTTGAATCGCTGGCTACTAGCTTGGTACTGTGCTGGGCCCAATACACGTACTTGAGCTTGAGCCTTACGGCACATGACTTGCAGTTGACATCAGCGACACCTTTTCGTCGTCCTTTTTCATTTTATCTTTTTTGTGTTATTTTCACAATCCGTTTAGCGAATGGCCTCGTATTTCTCCCTTCTCAGTTCGATGCTCGATTACGGGCGTTACTTGGATGTCCAAGTCAAGCAGACTTTGACCAAATGGAGTCCACTATCGCCCAGATTAACGCTGAACTGCATTCGTTCGGTGCATCGGACTCTTGCTTGGAGCAACTGCAGTTGCAAGTGCGTCAATTGGAAGAGGAATTGAAATCACAAGACAACAAAAAACAAGACTTAGAAAGTCGTCTTCACAAGTTACAGGTGTGTTCTCTTTTTGGTTTGTACACATGTCGTAATGATTTTTGTATTTTACTCCATCATCTAGCCCCTTGTTCCGGCGGTAGGTCACTTACATCCTGGCGCCGAAGTGCACTGAGAGTGTGGTTATCTTAGGCCGTGATTCCCTAGTTTGTATGAACAGTTGAGGCATATGAATAAAAATAGAGGCCAAAGCAAGCAGTACGTCGGCACGTGCCAGCTCTTCGCTGCCGCGTAGGCTGGGTCCAGCACCAGGTAGCCTAGGCGGATTCTGACGTTGCTGGACATCATTTTTGCCTTGTATACTCTGCAATGTTAAGGTCTGTTTTCAAATCCTGATCTATTGGATCGTCAGCCATAAAGAAACTTGTTTCGTTTGATCATAGTTTATGGAATATTTGATAGAAGCACCACATGGACAGTGTGCCTCTTCATCGCGTTGTTTATGTCATAGGATGGCCAAGTGGACCGCTCAGCACAATTGTTTCACGTATCAGGCTGCGATAGCTAACCCACCGATTTCCGCGAAGTACGTTGCTTGCGCGACCGGGCTATGATTTCGTCAAGATAAATGATGGCTCTCACTCCGATGATTGCCTCGATTGGTGTCTCGCGGGGTATAAAATACAGTGAACACGTTTGACTGGTGTTACCTGTTGATATGGCCAGCAACTAACCACAGTGGCCTCTCCCCATCTGATTTTTAACCTTCCCTCTAACCACGATCTCAATTTCGACACTTAATATTCATAACAAAACACTTTGTTTTGTTTTATCTACCCTATTTTATCTCAATCGGATTGACTTGTACTGTGCACAATGGCTGATGTGTTGCTTATCTGTTAACCTCACGTGTATACTTATGGTGACGATCAGTCCGGACGTTGTTCCGACTGCCGTACCTCCGCAAAGTCGCACCTGTGTTCGCTGAGCAACAGGTTTTTCGTCTGCTTGTCTTTTTCAGTTGTCGAATCGGGAGCACCAACGTTTGCTTGCCGAGTTGTCCGAGCGCAGTGAGCAGTTACGTGAACAGCTGAGTTCTGCGAAGAAGCGCATTAAGGAACAGGAAGATGCAGGGTACGTGTTTTTTGGCCTGTGCTTTTCAGCGTTCTTGCGACATATACTTGCCAGATGGTCTTATGCTGTTTTTCACCTTTCATCACGCTATATTGCATGCTGGGTTAAAACGTGGGACTAACCTACACACGCTTTGAGCCTTTATTCTATGTTACTAGTCCTTTCTGCGGTATTACTCCCCATTCAGTGCAGTTTGTTGTCGATCAGGTGGAAAATCCCATAAGTATTTGCTGCTCATGTGTTCACCTCGATGAGGCTGTGCATTAACGTAGTGCTTCATTACTTGTTGAACCACTCATACCAACTTGGTAGGCAACCCCATTCTCTTAGGTTGTTGAGCGGTCAACAGTCTTCCCCGAACATTCAGATACGAGATTTTATAATATACCGGTGAAGTAACTCTTCTTTTGCGTGGAGAGCGCGCGCCACGAGTCTTCTCTGGGGATGCGAAAGCTTATTGACCCCTACACACTTGAGGCCAGTCAGCTCTGCACCTGTTGATTGAACTCACTAAATCTCACCTACGATTAACCGTGGTCACGGGTGTGTCCTTAGCTGCGATCAAGTAACCGAACAACCTCGTGGTGCCAGTTGGGTGGTTTGGGATTTTCCCGTTCCAGCAAATGGTTCGGCGGCAGTGTTCCAGGACGTGGTGGGTTTTCGCCTGGCAAGCGTTCTCCCTATAAAAGGCCACATATGTCCGTTTAACAACACTGCGACGTGGCGGACGTGACTCGCCACCAAATAAAGTCACTGCCCCTTACTTCATCCTGATAAAGCATTGTATTCCAACAACTTTATGCTGTAATTCTAGGGAGCGTTGGACCCCTGATTGACAAAGGAACAAACGGAAGGCGTATGAATTGAGCAATCAGTCACCGGCTCTCAACGGGCGCGATCCCCTGAATTCGCTCCGCTGCCTTGCGGACACGCTGTTCAGCCAAAGGCTCGGGGTGGTTTCCCCTAAGTCAACACCCTGTTTCGGTTTGGGCAACCGGGTAGTAACTCGCCCTCTGTCAAACCATGGACTTGTATGCGTTGTGTTGCCTTTTACTATTTTACCTTCTTTTGAGTCCCATGGTTTCTGCTGGCTCTTGTCTATTCGTAGACTGTTGCTATATATATATATATATATATATATATATATATATATATATATACATATATATATATATACATATATATATATATATACATATATATATATATATACATATATATATTATCGAAATTAACTGCAGTTAGCTTAAGCGACGTGTGCAAGTTTATAGAATGGAGTACTGCTAGACATTTATATGAGAAATAAATGCATTAGGACAAAATTGCAAACCCACCACCTGAAATGAAGAGACTTACATGCAAGCATGCGGTTAATGAATCGGATGCAGCGTTCCTACAAACACTGCGCCGGTACTGCCTACGTTCTCTGCAGGACCCGTCGTCGCTTCGGTAGTGGTCCCGAGTAAACTAGTTCATGGCTCACTAGGCCTGCCTGACTCAGGCACTCGCGACCGCACGTGCTACAGCACCATGCTCTCGATGTCGATGGAGTACAACCTATTGGTGCTTGCCGCTTCCGCACTTGTGCTTCTTCTCTGCTTGCATGAGGTCTTTCTCCCGCACTTCGGCAACTGCCTTCGTGATCAAATCAGGTCGATCAACCGCCTTCGATTCCCATGACCTGCAATCAAAATTAGAACGTGAGAGGCTCAATTTGATCATGCCATGGTAACGTAACTTCGGTTTCCCCACATGCCGCTTCCCAATACCCAGCTGCCTATATGAAAGTTGTTTCGGTATCCGCGTCGAATCCATACGGTTCACTTGACCGAGCCACCTCAGGTGTCTCAGCAAATGTATGCAGTCCACTGCATACATCCCACTTTGTCACAACACTTCCGTGTCAGCAACTCTATCGCCTCTATCGCGCAGAATTCGTCGCAAACACTGTTGATGGATCCGCTCGAGATATCGCACATCCCGCCGATACATCATCCACTTTTCGCTGCCGTATAGAGGAACGGACAGCACCATGGATTTGTACACCATCAGCTTCGTGCTAATGATAAGCTGATGGTTGTTTTACACTCGAGACTCTAGCTTCCCGAATACCGCCGCTGCCTTCGACACGCGAATACACAGCTCACTGTGTTGCTGCTGATCAATCGAGATCACACTACCAAGGTAACAAGCTGGAGGTGATTTCCAATGCTTCAGCACCAATGCTGGTTCGCGGCAGTATTAAAGATTGCACCTCCGGCGAAGGCTGAAAGAGACAGACAGTTTTACTTGTGTTGATGGTGAGCCCGAATTTTGCTGCTGTCGAAGCCAGAGCACTAGTCATGTGCTGCAACTCATCCGCGCTGTGTGCAAACAACGCCCAGTCTTCAACAAACAGCAACATACAGATAGCTGTCTCAGAGTCTCACAGAGTTCTCTCACCGAAACGACGGATGTTCAGCAACCCACCATCAATACGGTGCTAAACACAAACACCGTAAGCACAATCCGCATCAAAAGCGCAAGACGTCATTTCATGAAGATATATTAAACAGGGCAGGAACTAAGACACAGCCTTGCCTCACATCAGAGACAACTGCAAAGTCATCCGAAGTCTGTCCACTCAGCCGCACCCTCGCCCGCATACCACTGGGCAAACATTCAATTAAACTTACAAACTTACTCGGAGAACCAAACCTACCTAACAGCAGCCAAAATGCCTCGCGATTCCTCCTATCAAATGCCTTGGTGAAAAAGCGAGTACAATGGCTGGTGTCGTTCTCTACATTTCTCCTGCAACTGACGAGCCACAAACACCATATCTATAGTGCTGCGACCCGAACAGAATCCACTCTGCTCTTCCGCCACGTTAGGTTCCACAACCTGGAGGATGAGCCGATTGAGCAGGATTCGGGCAATCATCTTGTCCACACAACTCTGCAAGTTGATGCCACGATAATTCGTGCAACATTGCTTGCTACCTTTGCCCTTGTACAGTGGTAGCACAAGGGCATCCTTCAGCTCAGGAGGCACCTCCTCCTCAATCCATACACGTTGCACCAAGTGGTGCAGCGCAGTCAACAACACAGGTCCGCCGTGTTTCAATACTTCAGGCGGGATCCGGTCGGCCCCGGCACACTTGCCGTTTCGCAGTTGAGCAAGTGCTCTCTGCGTCTCATCCAGTGTCGGCCTATCCGCCTGATTCGCCTTCACATCGTGCTGCTTGAGGCCGTTCAATGTAGGCCAGTCGATCTCTGAACGGTTGTTCAGTTGACTGTCAAAGTGTTTTCGCCAGATCTGCACCATGTCTTCATTCTGCGTGAAGATAGCGCCTGAACTGCCATCGATTAGCGTCCTCAGCGGCTCCAGCTTCGGTCCATGCACCGTCTTCAACGAGTCAGAGAACTCCTTGTGTTGGCGGTGTTCGGCGTAGCATTCCATCTGCTTTGCCTTCTCCGTCCACTATGCATTTTTAATGTGACGGAGCTCTCGGGTCAGTCGCTGTCGAAGTTTGCGAAACTGACTGCTCTTCCACAAGTCACTGTGGTCTACGACATGTGCAGGAAATGTTGCATTCTTCCCCGGCACCACTGGCCCAATCGTGGCATTGTTCTCATCAAACCAAACAGGCCGCTTACAGTTTGTGCGCCCTATGGTCCCCTCGGCGGAAACTGCCACTGAAAGTTGGATGTGAGCCCCGGTTCATCAACAGAGCCGGCGCACTCTCCTTCCCCAAGCAGAGCAACAACGGTGTTTCTATCTTTGGGGGGAATCATGCGTATCAGATCTACACAAAACAGTGGCTGGGCCATAGCCCGCTCCACACTTAATGCGCAGACCAACTCTTTGGACCTGGCACCGTCACGTGTATGGTACTCAGTTTGGATCCATCGCTGACCGGCTATAGGTTGACGGAAATTAGCGAATCGGCGCCCACTGCGTTTAAAAGCGGTGATACTATGAAATATCCGTACACCCTTGTAGCAGACGCTGGCCGTTGTTTCTGCGGTCGGGCTTAAGTCCAAACTTACCAACTAACTGAGCTTCTGAAGAGTTCTTACTACCTACTGTGACATTCCTACCCCTGCACGTTCAATGGCATATGAACCTGTATCACTGCGAAGCGGAGACCACAAACAATCAGCGTCTTTTGCTACTTCCATGAATCAACCTTAATGATGCGATATGCTGTACCTAGGCGGCTTTTCAAGCGAATCCAATCAACCAACAATGACTCAGCCTTAGATCTGAGGACGATACGCACCGCTGCTTAGGCAGTGGTTGCCGCATCATCATCTTCGGATACGCAATCAATACAAAAACCCCGTGAGAGTCATTGATCACACAACACACGTCAATACGCAGGGTGTCCAACGTGTGTGCGAGTCTAGCCTGTTAACCTATTTGTCGTCGACTGCGAACGTTGGACACCGTCAGGAAAACAGACGAATGTGGCCTTATGAGGAGTTGATGTCGCTTGGTGTCCGGTGTTTTGTTCGAGAAAATAGCTGCAGATTGTATTATTACAATGGCATGATCGTCGCTGTCAATTAAGCTGGAAATTATGGAATAAAGGCTAGTAATGGGGATTGGGAACGGAGTAAGAGAAATAGGTGAAAAGGAAATCAGGGTTGCGTCAGGAGTAGCATACTTTCACTCATTCGCCCTGCTGTATGCAGTAGAATAGGCCACTCTTGCTAAGCGATTGCCGTGGCAGGATGTGGTTGAAGTTTGAAGAAAGAGCCAGGTAGAAAGACGATTGAGGTCTTCCACCAAAGCCTTTGGCTACAAGGCCTATCCGCAAAGCAATGATTTATGTCTACAGAAATAGACGCCATCCTATTTCAAATTTCCAACATGGACGACCAGAAGACTTGATTTGTCTGACTTCTAATCATTGACCCACCTGGTAGAAGTAGCTCTCAAGGAGCCTGATGGTCCCACCCGTATATCCCAATAGGTGGACGAGGTATGCAAACCGTCACATCTCTTCAATACAA